TATGCGACCGCGCGTCCACGGATTATGACTCAAGGTGTTTTGGACTTATGGCAACGGACTGTTCCCGGACTTTGACTCATTCATTTGCCCTGTCTTGGGAAATGTCGCAAGAGAGAGCAAAAACTCCGGTACCTCGGATTGCCGGAACCCGATGCAGCGTTACCCCGAACGAATCCCCCAGGCTTGGTAACCCTGGGGGACTAACTGCGTCGGCAAGATGCAAGGGGATTATTGATTTGAAAGACAAATCCACCCATGATGATGGTAGCACGGCCGAAATGGTCAATTGCGAGGGATCACTGGATGGTGCCAGTCACGGGGGCTCGGGGGAGGATCCTGACTCTCCGCTCGCTCGACTGGTGAGGGTGGATGACGATTTGAGGCATCTACCGAGTTTCTCTGCCGAAGAAAGGACTGTGTAGGAGAGAGACGATAGCAACAAGAGGAAGAGGATCTCGCCGCATTCCCCAGGGGATGTTGCTGGTGAGTCTGGCTCCTTGCGAGACGCTGATCCGCCCGGGATTGCCGCGGATTCCATCGCTGTCTCTTCCGAGGACGGGGACGTGCCTAGAGTTAATAGCACTCCGCGCCGCCGCGGGCGCAAGCCGAGAAAGAAAAAGATAAGAAAGGAAAAGGGGTCCGTACGCTCTCGGATTAATGAATCTAGCCCGACGGCCCCGGAGCCTCCGGTGAAGCAGTCGAGAGAGTCGCTCTTCAGGCTCCCGACCACTGAGATCGCCGGTATGGCGAGAATTTGGCTGGACGAGATAGACAGTATGCGGGTCGGAAGCAGTAGACTTCGGGGAGGTTCCTCTGGAGCTATCAAGGATAGAATTGCGCTCTTGAGGGAAGTCATAACTGTTTTCACGGAGCGGGTGGAGGATAGCGGCGATACTCCATTTCTCAGGCAGCGTAACAGCGAGCTGTACGCACAACTCCAACAGATGAGGAGAACTGAGGCACAGTTGAGGAGTGACTTGGCCGGTGCCCGGGAGCGGGTCTCGGAGCTTAGTCGGGAACTGAACGTTTTTAGGGACCGACTGGGCTCCAAATCGACCTCGCGAGATGTTGAACCTGTCCGGACTATCCCTGATGGTGGTTTGGCCGCGGCCGCGAGGGTGAACCGCGGTGGTCGCCCTGCGGGGACCCGTAAGGAGTCGGAGGTGTCTGCCCCGTCAGATGTGGGAGAGTCGTCGGATATAGGCAGGCGTACTAGATCGGAGATCCAATTGGAGCAGTGCGAGGCTAGCATCGCAAAGGAGATGACGATTCTCCTGCGCCTTCAGCGCGAGATTGCCGCGATCAGAGGTGATCCTCCTGCTGCCGAATCCTCGGACGTGGAAAGGGCTCTGCCCAGAGTGATTGGGGACATCCAACTCCGTCCCCCGCTGAGGGCCAGTCAGGGTCTGGCGTACTTGGAGTCGGGGGACGTTGCCTCCTCGGATGGCGCCTCCTGGTCCATTGCCGTTCGCCGAGGAGGCAGCATGCGAAAGAAGGAAAAAAAGAAAATGACCGCTGGTTCGGCCTCGGTCTCGTTTGCGGCCGGGGCTTCGGCTGGGCGGTCTGGCGCGACGGTTGCTGAGGGTCCGAATGCTCGCCTGCCTGGGATGGCGGCACGTCGGGGAGGTGTTCCTCCCCCTCGTCGTAGGGTTCCAAGAGCGGCGGCGGTTTCTCTGAGGTCAGCCTCTGGGGATGTCTCACACGCTGACATCTTGAAACAAGCCAAACAGAAAGTAGTACTGAGTGACATTGGCATTACTAAACCCCGTATTAGGCCTGCCACCAATGGGGGATTTATTATCGAGGTTGCCGGCCCGGAGGGCCCTGCAAAGGCTGACGCCCTCGCGGTTAAACTCAAGGAGTCTCTCGGCTCCGGAGCGGTAGTGTCGCGTCCGGTTGCGCGTGGCGAACTTAGGATCTCGGGCCTGGACGACACCGTTTCCGCGGACGAACTGGTAGCCGTGATTGTGGACAATGGCGGTTGTTTGGTGGGTGATGTTAGGACCGGTCCATTCAGGAGGACTCCTGGCGGACTATTTTCGGTCTGGGTCCAGTGCCCCCTGGTGGCGGCTAATCGCTTGGCCGCACTGGGCTCCATTTGTGTTGGCTGGACAATGGCCAGAGTGATTCTGCTTAGGGCCCGGCCGGTTCAGTGCTATCGCTGCTGGGCCTTCGGCCACGTGCGGAACCAGTGCCCCTCGCAGGCCGATAGATCCGGGGCATGCTTCAATTGTGGTAAGGGTGGGCATCACTCTAAGTCCTGTGCCTCCATGCCTCATTGCGTGATCTGCGAGGAGAGAGGCCTTAACTGTAATCATAGACTGGGGACACTGGTGTGTCCCGCTGTGAGTGACCGTGATCGGAGGATGGGACCAGGCTCTGGCAATGATCGCTAAATTCACTCAAATTAACACAAACCACTGTCGTGCATCTCAAGACCTGATGATGCAGTTCATGGTTGAGAACGGAATCGGAATATGTTGTCTGTCTGAACCGTGGAGGATTCCGGTCGATCATCCTCACTGGTTCTCCAGCTCAGACTCGTTGGCAGCCATTAAATGGAATCCTGACTTCACTAGCTTTAGTTGTACTGCGTTTTACCGTTCTAATGGTATTGTTGGCGTTCGAGTTAATGGAATTGGCGTTATTTCAGTTTATATATCACCGAATCGGCCCATTAATGACTTCTTAGTTTTTACTGACAGACTTTGCGATGCCATTGGATCGGCTGGTTGCCCTGTCGTTGTATGCGGGGATTTTAACTCGCACTCGGTTTTGTGGGGATCCCCTACTACCAACAGAAGGGGAGAGATACTGGGTAGCTTGGCTGACCAGTTTGATTTGGTCCTTTGTAATGTGGGTACTAGGTTTACATGTGTCCGGCCCCAGGGATCATCCATCGTGGATCTAACGTGGGCCTCTGCGTCGTTCGCCGATCGTGTGAGAAATTGGTGCGTGCTGCGTGACATGGAAACTCTCTCACAGACTGATATCCTTTTCGATTTGTAGGGATATGGCGAGTAGTGTAGTAACTAAGGATACTTACCCTCGTTGGTCCTTAATTGGTTTGGATGCGGAGCTCCTAAGCTCCACCTTTAACTTCCTTAGCTCTGGGATGAACTGCGAGGCCTCTCCCGACAGTCTGGCTGCGGACATCCGGGACTGGATCTCGGATTCGTGCGACGTTGCTGCACATAGAGTCGGTTCACGACCACCCAGACGTTCAATGTACTGGTGGAATTACGAGATCGCGTCCGCCAGACGAGTCTGTATTGCGGCGCGAAGAAGAGTGACCAGGGCCAGATCTAATGCCCGGAATGACGGCCAGCCCGAGCTTGTAAACGCATACAGGGATGCAAGGAAGCTCCTTAGAGGTCTGATTCGTCGTGCCAAATCCAGCGCTTGGAAAGAGCTTATACGCGGTGTCGACGATGATCCCTGGGGCCTCCCGTACCGCATGGTCATGGGTCGGCTGAGGAGTTTGTCGCCTGCCCTGTCCGAGACTTTGGACTCGGATGCCTTGGGCGGACTGCTGGATTCTCTCTTTCCGGAGGGGGAAACTCACGAGCCTGAGGAACTCTGGAGGGGATGGAATCACTTTACCACCGCGGATCATGTGAGTGTGCTCGATGTACACCGGGCCATCCTGCACAAAAGGAAGAAGAGCAGCCCGGCCCCGGGACCTGATGGCGTGAGCTGTGCGGTATGGAGAAGGATCGCCGATGTCGCCTCCAATCGACTATCGGCTGCTTTCACTGCCTGCCTGCGGGACGGAGTATTTCCCCGTATTTGGAACAGGGCCAAGCTCGTGCTTATCCCCAAGGCGCCGAGCGGGCCACAGATTAAGGCCCGTCCTATTTGCCTCTTGGATGAGATTGGCAAAACTTTTGAGCGGATTATCGTAGCTAGACTGTTGGAACATATGGAGGCCACCGCAGGTGCCGGACTGTCCACTTCGCAGTTTGGCTTTAGAGAGGGTCGATCTACTGTCGATGCTCTGGATGCTGCTCTTGGGGCGATTCGTCGGGGTGTCGGGGCTAATGGCTTTGCCATCGCCGTTAGTCTCGATATCAAGAACGCATTCAATTCCCTGCCATGGGAGACCATCCGTTGGGCCCTCGCTCGTAAGGGTTACCCCGAATACCTGCGGCGAATCATTGATTCGTATTTACATCAACGAACAGTGGAGTATCGCGTGTCTAGTGGTCTGATCGAACGGAGACCAGTGACCTGCGGAGTCCCGCAGGGATCAGTGCTGGGTCCGCTTTTGTGGAACATAGCTTTTAATTATATCTTGGAAACTAGACCTAAGCCTGGCTGTAAAGTAATTTGTTACGCCGACGACACCCTGATCATTGGCACTGCAAAGTCTGTCGAGGTGATGCGCTCCAGAGTTAATGACCAGGTTACTGCGGTTTTACGGCGGATTGATTGTTTGGGTCTGTCCGTGGCTACAGGCAAAACCGTCGCGGTTTTGTTTAGAGGGCGCACCCGAGTTCCGATTGATCCTATCATACGCGTTGGTCCTAGCCTGGTTAAAATGTCGGCTCGGATGAAGTATCTGGGAGTTTTTCTTGATCCCAGGCTAACGTTCATGGAGCACTTTAAGCAAACCCGTGACAAGGTTACTAAGATTACTGCTGCCCTCAGCAGATTAATGCCAAATCTGAGGGGTCCATGCGAGAACAAGCGAAGACTACGCTAATGTATTGATGTCGGTTGCGCTGTACGGGGCGCCCATCTGGTGCGATGCTCTCTCTGCGTCAAGAGAAGCGGCCAGGCTTTTCCGTGCGTCGCAGCGAACTATTCTAATTCGAATATGTGCGGCTTACCGTACTGTTTCTTTCGATGCCGCCTCACTTATTACCAGGCAGCTCCCGTGGTATTTGTTAGCCCTTGAAAGAGGTAGAATATACAGAAGACTGTGTGACTTGCGTAGGCTTGGCGACGTGGAAGGGGAAGCTTTAATTGATATTAAGGACGAAGAGCGTGTTGTTACCATGCACCAATGGCGCGCTATGCTCGAGAGTAATGAACCACCGGGTCTTATCTCAAAGGCTGCCATCGTCCCGGAGTGGCCCCGCTGGTTCAATAGACGATGGGGAAAGGTACACTTTCACATGACGCAGCTTTTGTCCGGTCATGGCTGCTTCAGTCATTTCCTATGGAAAATTGGTAAATCGGCCGATCCGACCTGTCATCATTGCGGTGCCGCGGAGGATACGTCGGAGCACACTCTTGTGCACTGCCCAGCCTGGACGGGGGAGCGCGAGGAACTCCTAAGTGATCTTGGGGTTGACGATGACTTTACGCTGCAAATAGTCGTGGCGGCTGCTCTGGAGACGAAAGAGAAATGGAAAGCATTTTCCAAATTCTCTTCCAGAGTTATGCTTGCAAAAGAAGACGCAGAGAGGGCTCGGGAGATGAACGATCGGGATCCGGCGGCCCTCAACGATGTAGTTGACACTGCAGACTAGCGGGTATGCGCGAACAAACCTTGATCGTGTTCTTGGTTTTTAGTGCACCTGCAGTGTTTTCCTATGTACATATGTATATATTTTCATTGCGTTATAGGGTGAGTTATCTCTCCTGGTTGTATTGTGAGACGCACTCTTTTGGGTCGGTCTGCGTTTCCACATCTATTGTGCTTTGGGTGGTGTAGAGTGTAAAGCGTAATAGTATGTGCTTATTAGCAGTAAGTTCTCTTATTAATGGGGGGGGGGACACCTAGCCACCTTTTCTTAACATTAGGGGTTATATATGTGTCTTTGATTATACTGGCTAGACGTGTCTGTTATCGCGTGGACTATCCACCGACCGGTGGCCCTGCGGTTCGTGGTCTGTGCGTGGGTGACCTGCGAAATCGGGTCAATCGCGTTGTGGACTCGGGATCGCATGGGGCGGCGGTCGTGTTTCGTTGGCCGCCCTTGACTGGAGCTATAAAGCTCAGTATTGTTGGGCGAATACTTCCTGAAGAAATTCCTTCGATAGGTAATACCGGGAGTGTTCGCCTATAATGCGGAGGATGGTCCTAAAGAGAGGGTTTTTTAGTCGAGTATTCCCGCTTCACGGGTGAGTCTGGCATAACCGTCCAGGACCGGCCTGACGGTACGCGTAAATGCGTTTTTCCCTCTCTCGGAACAAAAAAAAACATTTGTCCACGAGCTCGT